ATCTAAAATGCAGGGTTTTCCCTAAATTGCTGGGCAAATGAAGGCAGAGGCTAATCATACAGCTGGCTTTCAAAGCAAACATTTCCAGTGTCTGGTGCGGTTGCCAGTTTTTTTGAGATCACCTATGAAACAAATACCTTAATCGTTTTTATTACCTATGCAAGTTTAAATCTCATTAAGCTGGGTTTTTATTGATCTGAGGATCTGTTTGCATCAAGAGGACCTGGAAACAAAGCAAATTTTAATATTGTAATGTTTTGGTCTTTCATAGCACTAGCTTCTGAAAAGGATGATCAAAACAGACTCACACTGGGGTCTCCAAACAGATAACAATTAATAGATCGCTTTTAGTAAAAAGACCACTACTAAAGATTTTGAGTATACAGTTGTACTATTCCTTCTGTCTTCATGCTCTATGGAATACTTTGCAAATAATTACCATGTACAATGTGAACTGCCACTCTTCACTGAACAAATCTTTTAAAGCAAACATATCTGTTCTTTAGGACTGTGCAGGGGGGGAGAGCCCTAAATCTTCATTTTAAAAATGAGATGCAAATTTTAAATTTGCAAATATGCGTTGCAAATGCCAGAAAATGATCCCCTACTATTTCCTAATAGCAGATAAAACATGAAAAAGGAAATGCTTGCCAACCTTTGGGTAGGCTTGTTGAAGTCTGAATGTGTAGACATGCAGACAGGGACGTTGGATTTGAGGGGAAATGAGTTTGTGGGTGAAGTTCAGCCTACAATGCGGTTTGTTTAGCACACAGGAGGTTTCTTACAATATCAGTAACACAAACTGAAATTGCTTACAACTTCCCCTGCCTTTCCAACTTTGATGTTTTGTTTTTTTTCCTTAGGCATAGTTTTTGTTGTGTATATCCCACATCTTGTTGTGGCCATCACTCAGAGAGAAGAATGTTGGGTCTTTACTGTACTATTTACTGTATCGCCTTCGCTGTGGGAACTGTCATTGCAACAAAAGCTCTGAAGGGCTGGAAAGGAAACGTGCAGTCATTCTGTCCAGTTATGAAAATTGCTATGAATGCAAATTAGCTTTATAGAAAGCATTTTCTGCTGAATGCCAATTTTGCCTTCAATAGTGAAAGCCACACTAAGGGAAGGTCTTGATTTGTTACCTTCAGTATCACTTCAGGGTTTTAATCTTCAACTAAGAAGGAAATCCATGGAAATATGTTTAAAACTTTAAGTGACCTGTTTACAACATGTTTTAGATTTGTTAAAAGATTTGAAAAGCTTTTGATGAGTTTCATCTATTTTCCAGATGTCATCGTAGAAACAAATGTGATATTACCATGTGCTATAAAAACTTCCTGCAGCTCTATTAACAAGTTTCCCATGATGTAATTAGAAAGAAGGTGTAGTGTTTTCTTTGGCATCTGTGGGTAAAATACTGTGCATACTTATGCTGCTGTAAACCCAGGCCAACTTAGTTCATTTTAATGAAGTTATTTTGGACTCAGTTCATGTAGAATTTCACTATAGCTCTATCTATATCTGGATATCTTCCCTGAGGGGTAAATACAGCAAAAGTTGTACAGTTTCTTTAGATTTTGTATAGGAACAGACTATTCTCAATATCAAAGATGTTGTAACTATTCCAGCCAAGGTAAATGCTGTAAAATCCTTCAGGTTCAGACTCAGGTGGGGTTTTGAGATGTGTCCATAGCTGCCTTGAATAAGCTGGAGCATGTACAAGTGCCTAAGTCAGGGCCTTCAATCCTCTCCTCTAGGGCTCTTATTCCTCTCTGTTTGCTAAACTGTTATGTGAGGTTCATGGTCTAGCATCATTTTTGAGTTGGATGCCAAATTTCTATCACAAAACATTTATTTTCTTTCACCAAAAAATTAATCTTTTCATTGTAGTCAGCTGAAGTGTCTGGTAGTAGCAATGTTGGTGCTCGTTTCTCTGTAGCACTGGTGTAGGTAGATGGCTTGAGAGTGATACCACACACAGTCATTGCTGTTTTTCCTAAAACACAAAAACTGCTTAGGACTTGGAATCCACCTGTCATCTCTCATGTGGAGAAGCCTGTACACAAATGGTCTTTTCATAAGACCTTGTTACCTTTTTTTTTTTCCTAAACAAAGAACAAATAAAAGGAAAAGGAACTGGAAGGGGGAAAAATTAAGTTTTAATGGAAACACATTTCGTTTTTTGTTTTCTGCTTGCCATAAAACATTAACAGAGTAAACAAATTGATCTTTGCTCTTAAGTTCTTTAATAACATAAAGTATTTTGTGTTTTGTCATGGCTAAGGTATGGTTAAACCACATGTTGCTGGTCGTGTTCCAACCTCTATTGTCACAGGTCTTTGACATCAAACTACATTTTTAAAAATAAAAGTTGTGTGTAACCCACTTCTATTCACAGACACCTTTGTTAAAAGTCATGATTTTGGGGAGTGTTTCAGTATATTAGTTGAAATGGTATTTTCTGACCAAAACTGCTTTTCCATGGGACATATTTCAAAGTCCAAGCATTCCCACTGCCAGCCCCTGCTTTGTGCCATACAGCACCTTTTTGAATGCTGCACCTCCACATGAGCAAAGCTTTTGTAGGATGCTCTGAAACATTACATTCTAGACTGCTCAGCCAGCCATGGGACTGTTACAGTGGTCTTACAGTAGCAGACAGCTATTTGAAATAGGGGTGTGGAAAAGAGAAAGTGTCACTTTGGTCCACTTTTCGGAGTGGTTGGTGTTATAATATATAACCTTTTTTCCTTTTTTTCTTTTTTTTTAACGCAGTGTAGTTCGCAATAATTTAAAATACTCTATAGACATTTAAACGATATACAATAATATAACTTAATTGGATTCCTCAATTGTACTTAACAAATACTATTCTAATATATTTACAGTATCTAGTACCATAAGACTGTGCATTACTGTGTCTGGGAGCTTTATTTGCTTCCTGTCAAGAATGTAGTGAAAGTACAGTATTATCACTATTATTCAACAACAATACCCATGAATTCAAGGGACTTTAAATTACATGGAGTGAATCTAGTATTTTGGGGCCCCTGTTGACTTTTGTGAAGTTGCACTCATTCATGCTAAGGCTGGTATTTAGAAATCAACAGCAACATTGAGAAAAATAAGCAATTTCGCATTGCTCTGTAAGGGAGTCATCAGAGGGGTCTGATCTTCAGAGGGTAAGTGCTTGGGGTCAGAAAGGCAGGTCCTCACAAGTGTTCAGATGAAGGTCCCCAAATAATTAGTTACCTTTGATAATACAGGTCCACAAATTACAGAGGTGATTCTGGCTTATTCACACATCCAGCACAGAGCTGATGGTGCTCTAGGTCCACCAGCCCCTTGCCCCAAGAGAACATGTGGATGGACAAGTGCTTCTGTGTCAGGTGGGCAGGGCTCATGGCTCTGCAGCCCCTCTATATAAGTAATGAAATGAAACAAAAGCTAAAAATGCGGATATGCAGATGTAAGGAAATTTTTAATCCAAGTTTTCAGAAAATTGGGCAGGGACCCTTGGGACAAGCAGAAAATTGTGTCGTTAAATGGGCTGTGCTCTAAGTGGGCATACCTGGGCTTTTGTGGTTAAAACACTAGATTTTACAGCAGTTAAATATCTGAGGCTGTTTTTAAAATCTCTCATAGGGAAAAGGTGTGGGAATTAGGATTGAGTGCTATTAAGAAGTGAGCTTCTTTCCTTTAACATTCATGTGCTTACCAGGGGTATGTTATTGTCAACCTTAAAATAATGATGACACAGACTAACCCAAATTTTGGCTTTCTTATACCCATGAAGCCATGACAGCCCAGAGGCTGCAGCAACCTAGAGGTCAGCTGCTAGAATTTTATTGACTTCTGAGTGCATACTGAGCATAAGTTTTTTAGAAGTCTTGGAAATATTAACTTTCAACCATTAAAGGGAAAACACAATGCCTGGAAGATCCTGCCAGTGCATTCAATGTCAAAACAAAACCTTTGATATCTGTTGAAGCACCTCTTTGTATCCTAAAACTCCCTATGAGGAGCTGTGAGCAGGTGCTCCACACCTCAGGCCTGAGTCTAAAAAAGTCATTCTTATTCAGGAGGCAAGTGGGAAAAGTCGATATCAAACATTGGTAACCAAAGTTTCATGTGATATTTTCAGTCAGTTCTGGCAATTGCTTAAGGCCTACAGTAATTGAACTCTCTAATAGTGGAGTGATAACAGATCAGTAGCATTGAAGAACTTAGGGAGAACCAAATACAAAAGTCATAAAGTCAGAGTTCCAATAAGTTTACATTTAGTACAGAATTAAGACATAGCTACCCGTTAGTGCTTAGAATTTTTTGATACTATTAAAAACATAAATAATTATTTTAATGTTCATTCAAAGAGTTCCAGTGTCACTGGCAGCTGATGTAATTTTGTGAATGTTTGTTGGGGTCTTTTTCCAAACTGATAGTGGAGTATTTCTGCCATAGATTTTGCTCCCTACCAGTTGTTTTCTCTTTACCTACTTTCATAGAAATTTTGGTTTTTGCAGTGAGAATGATGTATTCTAGTCAGTGAAGATTTCATTTCCTTAAAAAAGTCTTCATTTGCACAGGGCTAGACAATTTTGATGCTGTAAAACAGAAGAAAGTGTCTTTTTCTTTTCAATGTCATGGGAGCTGCAATGCAATCAGCTTCTCTGATAAGTATAATTTAAAACACTAAGAGAACTCTACAACACCCAGATTGTAGTTAAAAAAAAAAAAAAAAGAGAGAGAGACAGAGAGAAAGTTTCATGTGGTTGTCAACATCACCTTAATCCTGTTGCCCTTGTTTCCAAAGCAGTTACAACAGCCAGCCAGCCAAAATGCACCATCCTTAGAAGTATAAGTAGTAGGGGAGAGGGAGTGGTTGTTGTGGTGTTGGCTGGGGTTCTTTTCCCCAAGAGGATCAGATGTGCAAAACGATGCTGTCGTTGTTTGTTGTACTCCACTTTCCTCACTCGTGGCAGTTCGCTCTGTTTGTTCGCGCGCGACGCCGTTATTTGCAGGTGAACACCTCTGTCCGCTCACTGCACGTGTTGCACTTCACAAAGCAGCACCAGTGGAATTTGCAATTGCATTGCCACACCTTGGTGTACTGGTGTGTGTTGTACCCTCTTCCACAGCACATCATGTCGCACCCGTCCGCGTTGGGAGACGTGCGGTTGCAGAGCCGTCCCTGGGTGCCGACGCTGCCTGTGGAAGCGTCTTCCTCACAGTAGTTGGGTGACTTTTCAATATACACTAAATCAGTTTCCATGGGTTTCTGGTAGCTCTTAATCTGCTTGATCTTCAGGAAGGTTGGTTGCCTCAGTCTACTGGCTCGTACCACCTCCACTTGCACTGCAGCATTGTATTTCTCTTTCAAAATATATCCAATCTCTCTGAATTTAGGAAGCGTGGTCCAGCAGGTCTTAGTTGTGCAGGAACCTGAAACTCCATGACACTTGCACTCCAATTTCATTCTCTCTTCAAGAACCTATGTGCACAGACATTTGCATATTGTTACTGCAGAAAAACAATATTGCAAGCCTGCCTAAACCTCAGTCTGTTTAGTTCATGTGAATATTCATTACTGCTGGTTGCAATTTTTCAAATGCATGCCTATAAATCTTCTCACCCCCTAGCACAATGCTCGTAACACATTTTGTTCCAAGTGTTACCTGGTTGGAAATACAGTGTTTTGTCATGTTTTGGGAAAATATTTCCATTCTTTTTCCAAATATTGGAGAATATTTACTTACATTTTAGAAGACATTTCTTTAGAGCCACAGGGGACTTCAAATTTTTCAAATAATTTCCATTTTGAAAACAGAAAAAAAAATGATTTGGGGGTTAAGTGGCATAAGATTCAAAATACTTAATTGTTTTAAATAATGACCAAAAAGTGCTTAAAAAGAAGAGCATATACTGCATGACTGAATAAGCCTAAATGCAGGGAGCTGGAACTAGATGATCTCTAAGGTCAATTCCAACCCAAACCATTTTATGATTTGATATTCTCTGCATAATTAAAGATTTTGCCTATATACCTATACCACCGGTTGTAAACTTATGGACAATTCCACGCACAGAATGTCCCATCCCCTTTAAAAGCAGCATCATTGCAGTATTTAGTCCAGCCATTAAGCGAATAATCAACCAGAAACAATTTTTTTTCCACCAGGGCAATGACAACACAACATTAGAGGGAAAAAAATCCACTGAAGGGTCCTGCTCAAGAGTGAGTCAAAGAGAAATGTATTGCTGTTGTGGAGGAGGTTGAGCCAGAAGGGTTTAATTCAGAGTCAGAAGAGACACAAACTGGTGGGTGCTCAGGCTCATGCTCCACTGTCATCCTGCCGTTTCTGCTGCAGCCAGGCCATGCCACGACTGGCACATCCCTCCTGCCCCAGCCCGGCTGTGCCCGCGGGAAGGCGAGCGATGTCCTCCCGCCCCGTGTGTGCAGCAGAGGGAAGCCAGCCCCACGGAAGCGCCTCTCTGTTTTTCTGCCCTTGTGCTACCACTTAAGCCTGACCATAATTACACCCACAGTCATCATTAGCTTATGAAAATCAAGGCCTAAGAACAAAGCGAGCTGATCTTTCCCCTTCGCAATGGGATGCTAACAAAGAAATATGAGCTACCGAGCTTGTCTGAAAGCATTACTGATGCTGCAGACCATCTCCTGTAGTGGTTTCGCTGCAGATCCCAGAACATGACTGAAATGGGCAAAGGATAAAAGGGCCGAAATCTGAGTACAATGGCATAATGAAGTAGGAGGGAGTAAAAAATGCTTACTGCTTCAGAAACTGGCCTTAAAATAAAAGCTGTACAGATCTGGTTATCCCTGCAAATAGAGGGCACCCTCCTGAGTTGTTTGAGTTTCACTTAAATTGTATGGTTTGTTTTTTCCCAAATTTCTGGGGTTTCAATATTAAAGAGAATATTTGGATTTGCTTCTCCCTTACCAACATACGGTAGCAAGTATAAGATAGCTGAGCAACCTACACAAGAATCATAAAATATCCAGAGTTGGAAAGGATCCTTCAAGTCCAGCTCAGGACCACTCCAAAATCCCACCCTGTGAATCTCTGGGAGAGTTGTCCAAACACTCCTGGAGCTCTGGCAGCCTTGGGGCTGTGACCATTCCCTGGGGACCCTGTTCAGTGCCCCACACCCTGGAAGAACCTTTCCCTGATATCCAGTCTGACCATTCCCTGACCCAGCTCCAGCCATTCCCAGGTGCTGTCCCTGGTCCCAGAGTGCAGAGATTGGAGCTTCCCCTCCCTTGCCCCTCAGAAGGAGCTGCAGCCCTGCTGAGGTCTGACCTCAGTCTGCTCATACCTTAGACCTTCTGGAACTACAGGCTTTATTTACCAGGGTCAAGGTCAAGTTATCCTATCAGAGGCAGTAAAGGTGTTTCCCAGCGAGGTTTACTGAGTTGGGAAAGAAATTCCTATAGCTGCAACTGCTCTAAAAGAAGAAAATCAGCAAGGCTGTGGTGAGCTGGGTTTTTTGTGGACACTGGAATGCACTGTATCACCTTCCTGTCTTCCATGCTGATAGAAAACTTGCCACCTTCTGCTGCAGCAGCAGCAGCATTTCAGTGGCAGTGAGGAGATGGATGCACTGTGAGATACTCTGGGGTCTTTTAGGAGTCTCCAGGGTCTCCTTTGTATCCATTTCCAGTCTATGGAGAAGGTCTTTTTTCTAAAGACCCCCAAATAAGATTTCAATCCTGTTCCACAAATCTGGGTTCAAATAATCTATTGATACTTAGATGTACTTGTAGATACAGATAAACATGCTTAGAAGTTGTGCTTGTTACTGCTGAAAAATGGCTGATTTTGTTGAAACTAACCCATTCCTACAGCTTTCTCAACATGCAGTTGCAGCTGCAAGAACTGCAGCAAAATCCACAACAAGAGGTGGGTGGAGGCAACTATTACACCTCTACCAAAGAGCACTAGGATCTAGGGATTTCCAGGAAAACATTGCCAATGGGATCTGTCACCCCTGAGCCATACTCCTCCCTGAGCAGTTAATCTTGGTGAAGTGTACACATTTTGTCATGCTCTACATGTGTTTCTGGTGTCTGCATTTTGGTAGAAAAGGCCAAGTCAGTAACTTGCTAAGAGAGTGGGAGAAGGTGAAGCTCATGAGGCTCCTGATTCTTCTGTGGGCTCAGCACTGTGGGTACTGTCCCAAGGAGCCTCTGATGTGTTTCCCTGATACACTAGAAAGTGTCATTGCTCCTGAAAGACGAACATCACCCATTTCAGTGTCCTGGGTGACTTCTTTGGAAATGTATATTCATATATGGATGCTTATCTGCCTATATAACAATTGTTTGTCTGTGCGTATTTTGTTGAAATTATGATGTTTATATACATTATTACATACATTATGTATATATTATTTATAGACATTGCCTGGCAGCCTGTATAGTACAATCTACAGCAACTTTATCCTAAGTCTTGATTTTTATTTTTTCTTTTTGCTGTTGTCTTTCTGAAGGTCCAGTTTAGTGATTCATTTTGGTGAGCAGAAACCTGATTTCACTGCTGTATTTTTTCGAGATTCCCACTGTTTCTGATGGTGGGAGGACTTGCAAATGCAAGCCATGCAAGCTCAAAAAAGCAGAAGTTTCAAAAAGTATTAATTCATGCTCCTGAAACCAATCTTGCAGGTTTTTCTAATTTTTTTGGAGGCTTCTCTCATGAATGTGGAATGCTTGGGGTTACAACACTGAGCAGAGGCCCAATCATCAGGTAGTTAAATTCCTGAATGCTATAATTTGTGTGCCCACAGTCAGCTGTGGGTATAAAATTGTGCCCAAAAGCTTGGAGGTCAGTGAATACAAGGCCCAAACTAAGCAGATTCTAAGCAACATTTTTTCCCCCTCTTTCCACCCAGATGCTGCAGAGTCCCTTCCTTGCTGACAGGCCAGCATGCTCTGGCCCTCCAGAGGAATGTCTCTCTGCCTGGTACCTTGAGCAGTTTCTACCTGCCAGGGAGGTGCCATGGCCGGATCTGACTTTGTTTGCTCAATGCTCTGAATGAAGAGCAGCCAACATTTTGCTTCCTAAAAGTCTCTCCTGCTCAGTTTACCTCAGCAAAATTCCCATCGGAGCTCTGACCCTGAACCTTAAAGGTACTTATTTACTCAAATCTAAGACACTATGCCAAGCTAGGTGCTTAATTAAAGATTGAAAATCATTAGCTCATATGAGCCACTCTCTCAGCAGTTTCATTTGTCATATGTCAGTGCCTCGTATCTAATCTTGAATGGTTTACAGCAAGATCTACCTCCCAGAGCAATTTCCCATCGTTGGGCTGTGCTGCCTCAGATTAATCATAAGAACATTCCTCAGGTCCCTTTTCCATATACAGGCCCACTCCCACCCCAGTATGATCTTGCCAAGTAAAATTTTCTAACTACTGCTACTTTGTTAAATGAATTGTGAAATATAGCATTAAAGCTTTCTTAATCCCACATCTTTTTATACCTATATAAATCATACATTTAAAATGCAATTTGAGGGCTGTCTGCTGCAGTTAAGTAGAAAAAGACTTGTGAAGACCAAAATAAAACCAAAGGATATGCATGAAAAGAAATTAATTTTTTCAAGTTCCATATCTAAACCCAACTGCATAACATCAGATACAGTTTCTGTACATAGTAAAAATCCTATTTGGATAAAGTGTGCAAAAACAATAGTTACATACTCTGTGTGTGTGTGTGTGTGTGTGTGTGTGTGTGTGTATTTTGGCTTACCCTTGCTAGGTTTTGCTTTCCTAAATGGAAATGCACATTGTTGGACCAAGTGTTGAATGTAACAAAATCCATATAACTTTTTGACTGAAGTATCAAAAAGAAATAAAGACTTGAAGAGTTTTGCCTCATCAAATATGCAAGTGATCGACTTTTGTTTTGGATAATAACTACCAAAAGAGATGGATTCTGGTCACAAGATGTCACCACTTCTTTGATGCTCAAGCAGCTGCACCCACGAGAGCTGGTGGCTTGCTGATGATGTGTGGGCACTGGCTAACCCAAGTCTCAGTGCAGCCTGGGGCCCACCACTGCTGACAAAATGCTGATCTCTTGGACCTATTTGGGAATCCAAACTCAGTTTGTTTGGGTTTGGTTTCTTATCTTGGATAGGCAGGGGTGTAACTAAGATTAATAGGGTTTAATGCTACTCTTCTAATACAAATGTCCTGAAATTATTCTTTGTTAATAGCAGATCAAAATTGAGCAGTTCATGAAGTGTCTCCTCGGGTTATGCCCAGCCCTGTGAAGAGGGGGCATGGAGCCAGCAGGAGAGGAATAAGGGTACTTCAACTGCATGATTTTCCTTCTGCTCCTCTGTGAAGCTCTTCCATCAAGCATCACAACAGTATTTATATTCTGTGGGATGAGGAACTGAGTTACTGTGTTTATTCCTCTTGTCATGCCCATGTTTTTCTTATTGTTTATTTTAGTGGCAGCAG